GTTTCCAGAAGGAAATTAAAAACCGCAAGAGTTTTGGCTTTTTGTGGAAATTGAGGAGGAACTGAAAAGCAGCTTAAAAAAAAATGGATGCGCCGAGAACTGAAGACCAAAGCGTTGGGTTTTTTTAAGGAACACAGAAGCGAAGCCAACGTGAACCGAAATCAAAATCGCTATTGTCCCGACGGCTTTAAAATGGTTCTTTAGCTAACCCAATGGTAAATTTTGATTTATTCGAAAAAAGGAAAAAAACATATCAACCCAATTTACATTAATTTGCCTTTTTTTGTTTGAAAAGCTTCCCTCACTCTCTTGAAAGGAACAAAGTGCATTGGCTCCCTTTTAGCAGCTACACGAGACCCCCCACCCCCCACACTTCCTTGTTATATGAGAAAGGCTTTTTAAGCCTTCCTCATCTGGGAGAAGTCATCCAAATCAATAAAGTCTGAAATAATTTATTCTCAAAACCCAGAATTTTAAATAAAAGCCGTTCTTGCAAAGACAAAAAAAAAAGTGGTGGGGGGGAAGAGCATGCATTCAAAAAACTCAGCGGTGAAGACAAAGATACGTATCTACACGGGCACTGGCAGACGCAATTAAAATTGTTACCGGTACTCAATGTTAACACACACCCCACTCTACAATACAGGTTTGTTTTTTTCCGTTCACTAATCACTGAGGTACCAATATTTAAAAATGGAAAGTTTGTAGATCGAAAAATAAAACCTAAAAGTCTGAATTTTTTTTTTTTTTTAATAATAAAAAAAATCTTCCCCGGGGAAGGGGGAAAAAAAAACTATGGTGAGTTCTGTATGAAATATTAGTATACTTAGAGAATTTTACAATCTACATTGGCTTTCCCCCCCCCCCCTCACTTCCTTTCTCCCTGGAACAAGAACAAAAAAAAGAAGAATCGTTCCACATTAACACAAGTTCTTGGAGAGAGCGTTCACCGTTTGATGTAACAGGAGTCGGTAGACTTGCAAATGGGAAGAAAGAAGAACGGATCTTGGCTACCTACTGGCACATCTTCCTGGTTACCGAAAGAAAAAAAAAAAAAAGAAGAAGAGGAGGATCTGAAGTCTGAAAACGATCTGTTGTTAAAATTCCGAACAAAAACGCGCCATGCCACACAGTGCAACGAATTTTGAGGTGCGACGCTCGATGGAGACACTCACAGAGAAGAAGAGCTGCATGGGAATTGTTAATGTCCACCTGCAAAGCAATTCCACACAAATTGCATTGCATGCAAAGGACACCGCGGTGCGCGGTGGCGTCGTCGGGAAGATGAGTCCTCGGGGGGGGGGGAATCGACGGCCTCGGGTTAACGCAGCCACAGTTTAAGACGCAGCGCGTCCACTCCATTTAAATAGTATCTGAACAGCCTCTTGTCTCGCACAAAGCCAAGATTTTCATAAAGTTTCAACGCAGACTTGTTTGTGATCTCGGTTTCCAAGACGACCTGGAAAAGAGGAGACATTCGTCAAGGAGAGCGGCGTGCTTTTGGGATGCTGCAGAGGACGCGGCCGGGCGACGGCAGGGAAGCCCCAAAGGCTGCTCGAGGGATACATTTTATTTTTTAAATTTTATGTCCTTCCATTTACTTCCCGCCCTCCCCGCCAAGCAGGCTCAGGACGGGTTCTAACCTATAATAATGGGCTGAATGCAGATTAACATCACAAAAACGGAATAACAAAATACAGACACTAAATACAATAAGCTGAGTACAACGCTAAATACTTTAAAATGAATTATACCTCACGGGAGGCAAAAGGGAAACCCGTGGGGGGGGGGGGGGGAGGGATATAAAAGCAACTGCTGGCATGGGATGCAGGGAAAGCGGTTTGGGGGCATTTTGCCCCAAGTTCTGTTCTCCTATGGTACCCGTTTCCCCACAAACGCAGCCACCTCTGTTGCGCCAGAAGCATCAGTGACAGGTCCCCAGGGAAAAGGAAGCTGAGGGGAAGGACCACAGGGAAATGCCCTTTTTAAAAAAAACCACAGTGCACAAACCCTAAGTCCAAGAGCCAAAGGCCACAGCTTTTGCATTCTCTACGATGCTGCCTATTGCAATATAAGCATATATCGTAGTCCAGGCCTTCAGTCCACCAAAACCCTCGCTCGCCTCCTTTCTCCAGGCTCTTAGCTCAATTATATCTTTTGGCCAATCCGCATCAGGCGATGACGACACCCAATCAGGACACGTTCTGGCCAATGCTCCCTCTAAGCTGTGGAGTCTTGTGAGCAAGAATTCTACTTTGTGAGCGACTGACATTAAAGTTGTGAGCGAGCGAGTTGGCTGCTGCATAAATCAGTTTGCTCCAGAGCCACCCTGCTCTGAGACTCCTTCAGGTGGTGGTGGTGGTGGTGGTGGTGGGAGGAGGAGGAGGAGGAGGAGGAGGAGGAGATTGGATTTATACCCTGCCCTTCACTTGGGAGTCTCAGAGTGGCTTACAAACTCCTTTCCCTTCCCCTCCCCACAAAAGAGGAGGAGGAGGAGGAGGAGGAGATTGGATTTATACCCCGCCCTTCACTTGGGAGTCTCAGAGTAGCTTACAAACTCCTTTCCCTCCCCCTCCCCACAACAGACACTCTGTGAGCAATGCTCCCTCTAAGCTGTGGAGTCTTGTGAGCAGAAATTCTACTTTGTGAGCTACTGGCATTAAAGTTGTGAGCGAGCAATTTGGCTGCTGCATGTATCAGTTTGCTCTGGAGCCTTCCCTTCCTGAGCTGAGACAAAAAATGTGTGAGCCGGAGGCTGAAAAACTGTGAGCTGGCTCACACTAACTCAGCTTAGAGGGAACACTGCGTGAGGTGGGTGGGGCTGAGAGAGCTCTGAGAGAACTGCTCTTGAGAGTACAGTTCTGAGAGAACTACGGCTTGCCCAAGGTCATCCAGCAGCTGCAAGCGGAGGAGCGGGGAATCAAACCCGGTTCTCCCACATTAGAGTCCGCGCACTTAACCGGTACACCAAACTAAGACAAAAACGTGCGAGCCAGAGGCTAGCTCACACACTAACTCAGCTTAGAGGGAACACTGCCCACCAGTGTTCCCTCTACGATGCGCATGGTGAGCAGCCGCTCCTTAACGGAGCAAGCCCTGCTCAGTGGCAATCTGGAGCAGCGCAGGGTCTCGCCCTGCTCATTGCCCGCTTGAAGATTACAGCAGTTAGGTTCTGCTCAGGATATGAACTCAGCGGGGGGGGGGGGGGGGGGGAATGAGAGGGAACATTGGCTGCCCCCCCCCCGTGAGCCCCGCCAAGTCTCTCCTCTTGAACACATGGCTCCATGCTGGGTTTCAAACCAACTAGCATCCTGAGCACTCCGCGTTTTCCCTGGTTGGTTCAGGAACGCCTTTTTCTACAAATAATTTCAAACAGCTGCCTTGATGGCTCTCAGTTTAGAGGGCAAAACTTGTAGCTGCCTTGAGATTCCCTGAGAGTCAGCTGAGATAGCACGGCCAGCCACAGTCGAGGGAGCTCTTCTGGCGCCTTAACCTTGGCGCTGTGTCTGAATCGGCACACTCTGGACTGCCAGCACGCGGCCACCGAGGGCCCGTGGTTTACGCAGACCGGGACGTGGCACGCCGAACAAACAGACAACTCCGTTGTAGCCGTTTCTTTGTCCGGAAGCCCCGATCCTGAGATGCAAGAAGGCGGAGCAGAGTGGAAGCAGAACCGGATGTGCGGGGGCAAACCAGGGCCTGCATGCTCAAGAGCACATAATCTGTCCGTCATATTTTTATCCCGCCCTTTCTCCAAGGCCCTCAAAGTGCCACTCCATTCTCGAGAAACCCAAGAGAGAGAGAAGAGGAGGAGGAGATGGGATTTATACCCCGCCCTTCACTACCTGAAGGAGTCTCAGAGCAGCTTACAATGTCCTTTCCCTCCCCCTCCCCACAACAGACACCCTGTGAGGTCGGTGGGGCTGAGAGAGCTCTCTCGAGGACTGCCAGTGAGAGAACAGCTCTGAGAGAGCTTGTGACTGACCCAAGGTCACACCGGCAGCAGCTATTCTCTCAGCAAGGAGGGAATAGCTGGGCCAAGGTCACTCACTCGTGGCTGAGCGAGGGTTTGAGGCCGAATCGCCCCAGTCCTAGTTGGATCCTCTAATCCCAGCACCAGCCTGGCTCTCTTACAAACTTAACTCGGTTTGGTGGCGTGCCCATCCCAAGGAAGGATTTCACAGTTAATTTCGAGTGGTTCCTTTTGTCTGTCAGGTCCCAGCTCAGGGGACACACCACGAGCAACGCCAATAAGCATCAGCTAGAAGAAGAAAGCTAGAAGACTCTCTAAAACAGTGCAAACCTATAAATCCCCAGTGTGAGAAGGAGGAGTTGGCTAAACTGGCAGAGTTCTCCGAGAAGCTGTTTCAATTTGGATGAAAGGTCCCGAGACACACCCCAAAAACAATTGCCATGCACCCAGCGAAGAGAACTACAGAGCAAACAAAGCCGGCTGAAAGGGTGCCGCCCCCAGAAAACGGTAGGCGATTTTACTTCTTGAGTTGTTGTACTTCTGTTCCTGTACAAAAGTAGCAGGTGAATGAGACCAGCGGGGGCCTTGATTTAATTACGCTGCTTACAGGAAACAAGCAGACGCAACGACTGACACGACGAGCACGATTCAGGGACCAGATGCCATTTCGGATCCGTTCAAGGAGGACTCTGACAACTTAATACGCCAGATACAAGACACGCAGAATGAAAACAGTTTCGGAAGGCAGCTGTGTTGGTCCGCGGGAGAACAGCAGGATTCGAGTCCAGTACCCCCTTAGAGACCAAGACGATTTCCAGGGTATGAGCCAGGCCCCTAGCTGCAGTGGGGCATCTCGGGGCTAGGCCCCCCGACTTACGGGGAAGGCCCCCCGACTACCCATCCAGCCCAGGTCACCCAAGCGGCAGCAAGTGCGGGGAGGGAGCCGGGTATTCCTGCACAGCTGTTTGGCAGGAAGGGCTGGCTACGGTGGCAGCGCGGACCCAGACAGCACCTACTTCCCCCAGGAAGTTGATTTATCTTTAACTAAATTACCTTAAATTCGATTAGGCGGTGCCCCCTGAGGAACTTAAACGCCCCCTGCTAAAAAGAATCCTGGCTACGGGCCTGGTAGGAGCTTTCGAGGGTCAAAAGTTCCCTTTGCCAGAGACTCTTGAAGCTCACACGGAGCTGGGGTGGCTCAAGTGGTTCAGACGCTGAACTGCAGGCTGTGGAAGGTCGGCAGTTCGAGACCCGAGTGTGCCGCATGACGGAGTGAGCTCCCGTCTCTGGTTCCAGCTCCTGCCAACCTAGCAGTTCGAAAGCAAGAAATGGCAAGTAGATAAATAGGCACCACTTCGGTGGGAAGGTGACAGCGTTCCGTGCGCCTTGGTGTTTAGTCATGCCGGCCACATGACCACGGAAACGTCTTTGGACAGCGCTGGCTCTTCGGCTTTGAAATGGAGATGAGCACCGCAACCCTAGAGTCGGACTCGACTGGCTTTCGAGCAAGGGAGACCTTTTCCTTTACCTTGAAGCTCACACCCGGGCAATCGTATCGGCCTCTAAGTTGCTGCTGGCCTTCAATCGAGCTGTTCTATTGCAGACCGACACGACTGCCTTCCCAAAACTATCTTCACGGAGGGCACCCCAATTCAGCCATGGGCAACGGGACGACCGCGTTCCTGATTCAGGCAGTTGGCCATCGCCACAGTACTCCCCACCAGTGTTCCCTCTAAGCCGAGTTAGTGTGAGCTGGCTCGCCGTTTCTTAGCCTCCGGCTCACCCAGGCTTGTCTCAGATCGGGAAGGGAGGGCTCCGGAGCAAACTGATATAGTCAGCAGCCAAATCGCTCGCTCGCAAATTTAACGCCAGGAGCTCACAAAGTACAATTCTTGCTCACAAGGCTCCACAGCTTAGAGGGGGCACTGGCTCCCCATTACCACATCTGGGTGCGAAAGCTGGGACAGTGAAGAGAGCGGACAGTGAGACGGTGGATTCATTTGAAATGGGGTGCCGGAGGCGAGGTTTACGGATACCTTAGCCCGCCACCAAGACAACTCGGTGGGTTCCAGGTCAGATCAAGCCACAGCTCTCCCTGAAAGGACTAAACCGAGGCTATCGTACTTTGGTCACATAGTGAGAAGAAAGGAGTCACTGGAAAAGACAAGGTGGCTGGGAAGAGTGGAAGGCGGCAGGAAAATAGGAAGACCCGACAGCATGAGATGGATTGACTCCACCAAGGAAGCCGCGGCCCTCAGGACGACTTGAGCAAAGGATCAGACCAGTGGCCCATCTAGTCCAGCCTCCTAAGTCAGAAGCAACTTGATGGCACTTAGAATCACAGAATCATAGAGTTGGAAGGGACCTGCAGGGTCATCTAGTCCAACCCCCTGCACAATGCAGAAAATTCACAAATAACTCCCCCCACACACACACACATACACCCAGTGACTGCTGTTCCACCCCCAGATGACAAAAAACCTCCAGGATCTCTGGCCAAACTGGCCTGGAGAAAAATTACTTCCTGACCCCAAAGTGGCTGTCAGCATTTCCCTGGGCGTGTAAGAAAGGGCCACGAGAACTAAGCACTGAGGCAACCCTTCCTGCCCTCCCTTCTCGTGATCTGCCCAAGTTCACAGAATCAGCATTACTGTTAGATGGCGACCTAGCCTCTGCTTGAAAACCTCCAAAGGAGGAGAGCCCACCACCTCCCGAGGAAGCCTGTTCCACTGAGGAACCGCTCGTCAGGAAGTTCTTCCTCATGTTTAGCCAAAAACTCTTTCGATTTTAATTTCAACCTGTTGGTTCTGGTCCAACCTTCTGGGGCAACAGAAAACAACTCCGTACCATCCTCTTAACGCACACATGCACCTCTGAAGCAGTGTTCCTTCTAAGCTGACTTAGTGTGAGCTCGCTCACAGTGTTTTGGCCTCCCGCTCACAGATTTCTGTCTTAGCTCAGAAAAGATGGCTCCAGGGCAAACTAATTTATGCGGTAGCCAAATCGCTGGCTCACAACTTTGATGCCAGTGGCTCACAAAGTAGAATTTTTGCTCACAAGATTCCACAGCTTAGAGGGAGCATTGCTCTGAAGGCTGTCTCTCAATCTTATTGCTATCGTGGAAGGATAACCCTGGTGACTGAGCTCAACAGGGAGGGGATCCTTCAAAGAACGCAGGCCTGCCCTGCCCCTGGCAACTCCAGGACCTCTGAAAAGCTGTCCCTGGACACTGCATGACTGGTGTGACTGCAAAGCCACATGTCTGGGGGGTAGGGGTGAGGTTGCAGCACAGGGGAAGGCGGACTGTGGGAAATTGCTTCTGCTGGCACAAGGGGCACCACTGGGCCTGATCCACGCCACCAATCACCTCCCACTGGCACTTCACTGGATCCAGCCTCCAAACCTGATCACATTTCAATGCCAAAAACAAAACACAGAGAAAGCATTGAACGTTCTGCTGTGCGGTGTAGTGGGTGTAGGCAGCCTGGGTTCAAATCCTTGCTTCCACCATGGGAGCTCAATGGGTGACCTCAGGCCCACCACAAGCTCTCAGCCTGGCCGGTCTCACAGGGTTGGCATTGCTGGGAGAGAATGGAAGAGGGGGAAAACAACGTTCGTAGCCGCTTTGAGTCCCAAGCAGTGGTCCGTCTAAGCTGAGTTAGTGTGAGCTGGCTCACACATTTTTGTCTTAGCTCAGGAAGGGATGGCTCGCAAGCTAATTTAAGCAGCAGCCAAATCGCTCGCTCACAACTTTAATGCCGGTAGCTCACAAAGTAGAATTTTTGCTCGCAAGACTCCACAGCTCAGAGGGAGCACTGCTCCAGAGCAAACTGATTTATGCCGTAGCCGAATCACGCGCTCACAACTTTAATGCCAGGGGCTCACAACGTAGCATTTTTGCTCACGAGACTGCACGGCTTAGAGGGAACATTGGTCCCAACTGGGGAGAAGAGCAAGATATATACAAACGCATGTAAACGCAAAGCCACAAACGCACCCCCAGTTTGCCTGTTGCACCCGGAGTGAAGTGCAGAAAACTGGTCAGCTGGCTTTAAAAGTCCGGAGAGTCATTCTCCAAGTCACCCAGGACACTGGGGACCATCAAGTACGCATTGTAGGCAGACACGGCAGAGCACACAAGTCCCGTTAAACATGGAACAATTCTCGAACACTCCAAGGAACTTTTCTCTACTTGCACGCAAGGCTCCCTCTAAGCTGTGGAGTCATGTGAGCAAAAATTCTACTTGGTGAGCTCCTGACATTAAAATTGTGAGCGAGCCATTTGGCTGCTGCATGGATTAGTTTGTTCTGGAGCCATCCTTCTTGAGCTGAGATAAAAATCTGTGAGCCGGAGGCTAAAAAACTGTGAGCTAGCTCACACTAACTCGGCTTAGAGGGAACACTGCTTGCACTCGGTGTTTACGTTCTAATTACAGCTACTGTTTTAAGATTATTGTGGCAAATGTACTCAGGGGCCAAGAAAAAGAGGAAAGGAAGGAGAGAAGAGCTAAGGAGACGGAGAGAGAGAGAGAGAGAGAGAGAGAGAGAGAGAGAGAGAGAGAGAGAGAGAGAGAAGGTGTGCCTGTCCTCTTCGGATAGTTAAGCTTCTTATTGTAACTGTTTTAATTATGGCGATATTCGAGATCACTGTTCCGAATTTTTATCTTTACTACACACGTTACAAACCCCTGTACACCGATTGTTTCCCTTTGTCGACATACGGGTTGATTTGCGCTGCTATTCTTTTTATAGAGTTATTGTTATGCCAATAAAGGTTATTGGAATGATTATTATATTATCGACGCCATTCTCCAGCCGGTTCCGGCACATACGAAAACTGTTACCTGCCTAAGCTAAGGCGAAAGGCTCCTGCGGCCTCTTTGAGGGAGAAGAGAACGTCTGTTTCCCCCGTGCTGTTTACTCTTGCCGACACAGAGGCAAGGATAGCAAAGGAAAGGGGTGCACCACTCGCTCCTAAAGAGGATTACCCAGATGTGGGGAAAGGCAGTCCCTCGGGTATGTAGGTCCCTGACCATATAGGGCAGCGTGGCTGATTGATTCAAAAAGAGGGGCTGTTACTTCCTGTGCCATTCTCAAAGGGGGGAGGGTGCTACTTACCCTATTCTTTACTTCCCCCGGCTCAGTTAAAGCCTGTACTGGAGCACATGGGGCTGCCCTTGTTGCGAACCTAGAAGCTACGGCTGGTGCAAAATGCTACAGCCAGGCTTCTGATGGGTCTCCCTATACAGCAACACATCCAGCCTGTGATAAAAGCACTGCACTGGCTGCCGAGAGCATACCAAATTCGCTTCAAGGTGCTGGTTTTTACCTTCAAAGCCCTATATGGTCAGGGACCTACATAGCCGAGGGACCGCCTTTCCCCACTTGTTCCCCAGAGAGCACTGCGATCAGGGTCTCAAAACTGTCTGGCCCTCCCTGGTCCCAAAGATGGCCTCAACCAGGGCTAGAGCCTTCTTGGTGATGGCTCCGTACTGGTGGAACGAGCTCCTGGAAGACATCAGGGCCCTGTGGGACCATCTACAGTTCCGCAGGGCCTGCAAGACGGAGCTCTTCCACCAGGCCTTTAATTAGGAGCCGCGTTTAACAACTGTACTGTGACTAGGCCCCTCTCCCCCTGGACTCACCATCAGCACCCTGTGCTCGCCAGTATAATTGAATTAGATAAGCTGAACTTCCAACACTGACCATTCCTTTGTGACTATGCCATCATGGGCTGTTACTACCGCTATGCCATCAATATCGTTACCAGCACCTCTTCATTGTTTGTAACTGACTAATTATGATGTTTTATATTTGGGTTGTTTTTATGTGTTTTTAACTTTTTATGTGAGCCACCCTGAGCCTGCTCTGGCAGGGAGGGCAGGAAATGAAAGAAAGAAAGAAAGAAAGAAAGAAAGAAAGAAAGAAAGAAAGAAAGAAAGAAAGAAAGAAAGAAAGAAAGAAAGAAAGAAAGAGAAAGAAGGAAGGAAGGAAGGAAGGAAGGAAGGAAGGAAGGAAGGAAAGAAGGAAGGAAAGAAGGAAAGAAGGAAAGAAGGAAGGAAGGAAGGAAGGAAGGAAGGAAGGAAGGAAGGAAGGAGAAGGAAAGAAGGAAAGAAGGAAAGAAGGAAAGAAGGAAAGAAAGAAGGAAGGAAAGAAGGAAAGAAAGAAAGAAGGAAAGAAAGAACGAACGAACGAACAAGAGCCATGCTGGATCAGACGAGCGCTCCATCTAGTCCAGCATCCTGTCTCACACACTGACCAACCAGTTCCTCTGGAGGGCCAACAACAGGGCACAGAGGGTGAGGCCTTCATTAGAATAGAAGAATTCTACTGGGTGAGACCAGTGGTCGGTCCATCTAGTCCAGCATCCTGTCTCACACACTGACCAACCAGTTCCTCTGGAGGGCCAACAACAGGGCACAGAGGGTGAGGCCTTCATTAGAATAGAAGAATTCTACTGGGTGAGACCAGTGGTCGGTCCATCTAGTCCAGCATCCTGTCTCACACACTGACCAACCAGTTCCTCTGGAGGGCCAACAACAGGGCACAGAGGGTGAGGCCTTCATTAGAATAGAAGAATTCTACTGGGTGAGACCAGTGGTCGGTCCATCTAGTCCAGCATCCTGTCTCACACTGTGTTCCCAACCAGTTCCCCTGGATGGCCAACAACAGGGCATAGAGGCCAAGGCCTTCCCCTGACGTTGCCTCCTGGCACTGGGATTCACAGGCTGACTGCCTCTGAACGTGAAGGTTCATGTTCTGCTCTTATTAAAGTATCCTACACCATAACATATTAAAGCGAAGCAAGGCATGCAGCTATAGCTCCTTCAGAAGGAAAGAGACTCACCTCGTCGCAATCTCCTTCTACCATGGCATAAATAGCTTTCTTAACCAAGTTTGTACCTGGAACACAGATTAAAAAGCAACACATTTAACTGCAGGAAGAAGCTCTTTCAACACATATTAGCAACCTGAAGATCACAGCCCGCCCAGCAAACACACATATGGATAATTTAAGCAAGATGAATCGTTACTGCAATATACTCTACAACTACATAAGAACATCAGAAGAGCCCTGCTGGATCAGACCAGGGGTCAGTCTAGTCCAGCCTCCTGTCTCACAAAGCGGCCAACCAGTTCCTCTGGAGGGCCAACAACAGGGCAGAGAGGCCGAGGCCTTCATTAGAACATCAGAAGAGCCCTGTTGGATCAGACCAGTGGGTCCATCTAGTCCAGCATCCTTTGTCACACAGCGGCCAACCAGTTCCTCTGGAGGGCCAACAACAGGGCAGAGAGGCTGAGGCCTTCATTAGAACATCAGAAGAGCCCTGTTGGAGCAGACCAGTGGGTCCATCTAGTCCAGCATCCTGTGTCACACAACGGCCAACTAGTTCTTCTGGAGGGCCAACAATAGGGCAGAGAGGCCGAGGCCTTCATTAGAGCATCAGAAGAGCCCTGCTGGATCAGATCAGGGGTCCATCTAGTCCAGCATTCCTGTCCCACACAGGGGCCAACCAGTTCCGCTGAGGGGCCAACAACAGGGCAGAGAGGCCAAGGCCTTCATTGGAACATCAGAAGAGCCCTGCTGGATCAGACCAGGGATCTATCTAGTCCAGCATCCTGTCTCACACAGTGGCCAGCCAGTTACTCTGGAGGTCCAACAACAGGGCGCAGAGTCTCAGTCTTTCCTTTGATGCTGCCTCTTGGGTTCAGAGGCTCAGTGCCTCTGAATGTGGAGGTTCCAAAGCCCTCCTCTACCTTATGGAGAAAAAGAGGCCCTCTGCCTCAAGACAGGCTAAGGTGCTTCATGCCTGCGAACCCGAGAGCAAGGCATAGGTGACATAACTGACTGGGCCCACCTGGCCTGAATGCGCGGACATGGAAGAGTCTGGGGGGCAGAGAACGAGAGGCTAAAATCTTGCCTTTTCTGCCACGTACAGTTGGCATCCTGACATTAAACTCCCACAGATGCATTGCCTGTGCTTTCAGAGTTGCGGCCATTCTCCTTCCAAAACCCTGAGATTGAGTTCCTTCCTTCAGTGGGGCCGGATTGCTGTCACCACATTTATTAAACTTGGGAGGGTTCACGGGGCACAGATGCTTTGCAAGACAAAGCAGCCAACCAGTTAGCTGCACGTAAGCAAAGATGGGCTAGTTTTGTGCGGGAACAGCAACGGAGGGGAGAAGGCCGTTTCCCGTGTCGCTCACTCGACACCAGAATTAAAGGGCCTTCGAGGACCTGCTTCTGAGGGCAGAGGAAACAAACATCCAGGTGCAGAAGGCAAGGGGGTTTTCTAAGGAGCAAGAGCCAGAAACTCCCCACGGGGTGGGGGGGGGGAGAGGAAAAAAATCACAGAAGTTCCTGGAGGAGCCAAGTGGAGCAAACCCATCCTAAAATTGCCGCCATCCTATAACAGAAGACATCCAAAACTTTGGAACTAACTCCCCACGGAACTTCATCTCTCTCCCTCCATTGATGCCTTCTGCCAATGGGTGAAGATTTTTCCCCCTTTCATCTGGGATCTGTTATTAGAGAGTCAACATGGAATGTTTCCTTCAAGAGTTGGTAAGTAGTAATTGATAAAAGTAGGTTTCTATGCCCGGCTTTCCTCTACTAAAAAGCGTTCCGTTTTGTCATGCCGGCCACATGACCACGGAAACGTCTTCGGACAGCGCTGGCTCTTTGGCTTTGAAACGGAGATGAGCACCGCAACCCTAGAGTCGGATTCGACTGGCTTTCGAGCAAGGGAGACCTTTACCTTCCTCTACCTCAAGGCATCTCAAAGTGTCTTCCTTTCCTCTCCCCACAACAGGCACCTTGCGAGAGTGGAATGGGCTGCCCAGGGAGGTGGTGAGCTCCCCCCTCACTGGCAGTCTTTAAGCAGAGGCTGGACAAACCCTTGTCAGGGATGCTCTAGGTTGATCCTGCATTGAGCAGGGGGTTGGACTAGGTGGCCTCTGTGGACCCTTCCAAGTCTGTGTGATCCTATGAAAAGTAGGTGGGGCTGAGAGAGTTCGGAGAGACCTGTGACTGGCCCAAGGTCACCCAGCAGGCTTCATTCAGAGAAGTGGGGAATCCAACCTGGTTCTCCAGATTAGAGTCCACTGCTCTTAACCACGCTGGCTGGCTCTTTATGTGTTACTGAAATGTTGTTGTTAATTGTTCAAGTGTTTTAGTGCTGTTATGTGCACCCGAATCGGGTGGAAAGGCGGCATAAAAAGGTTTTAAATAAAATAAGGGAAATAAACCTAACATACAGTGCAAATGGGACAGGAAACAGGTTTTTAAGTGGCTGTTACGCGATTGTGCAACCAGCTTTTGAGACTGTCTTCAGAAAATCACCATCACGCACACATACGATGCTTCTGTCCACAATGCTTCTGTCCAACAGCGGAGAAGCTGCAGTTATAATTTGCGATAGACAGTCACTCTGTGTGTGTGAAGTCTTGTCAAGTCACAGCTGACTTCTGACAACCCTGTGGGATATTCAAGGGAAGGGACATTCACAGGCGGTTTGCTACTGCCTGCCATTGCATAGTGACTCTGGATTCCCTGACTGGCCTCCCATCTAAATAGAAGACAGAAGCAAGTCGATTTATACCCCACCCTTCACTACCCGAAGGCGTCTCAGAGCAGCTTACAAATTCCTTTCCCTTCCCCTCCCCACAACAGACACCCCTGTGAGGTAGCTGGGAGAGCTCTGAGAGAATGGCTCTTGAGAGAACAGCTCCAAGAGAACTTGTGACTGACCCAAGGTCACACCAGCAGCTGCATGTGGAGGAGTGGGGAATCAAATCCGGCTCTCCCAGATTAGAGTCTGTGCTCCTAACCACTACACCAAACTGACTAGGCCAGTGGTGGCGAACCTATGGCACGGGTGCCAGTGGTGGCACTCAGAGCCCTCTCTGTGGGCACGCGTGCCATCGCCCCAGCCAGGCCCAGACCATCATTAAAGTGTCGAACTCTCTGCCAAATAATTTTAAGTAAATAAAAGCATTTGGGATGGCTTTCCTTACTTTGTTTGGACCATCTTAAGTTAATGTGTGAGTTGTTTTTTCTAAAGTAAAACCTCCGTATTCAGGTTAAATTGCCGTGTTGGCACTTTGCGATAAATAAGTGGGTTTTGGGTCGCAGTTTGGGCACTCGGTCGCTAAAAGGTTCGCCATCACTGGACTAGGCTAACCCTGTTTAGTTTCAGAGGTCTGACGAGATTCGGTTATCCTGGTCAGTGACTTTACAGCATCCTGTCTGGAGACTGGTACGCTGGTGTGCTTTCTTTGGTGGCATTTTTCCTTCTGGTTCCCTCAGCAGCTACAGGAAGGGCATTTGGAAAAGTAGGGCTTCTGCTGATTTGCATGGCTAACTGCATGCATTTGGTATGCTTTGCATATCGTTTTCATGAACACCATGAATATTAGTCAACAATACGCAATTGTTCTCCTGGAAGAAGCAAATGCTCCGTTTGGTTTGGAAATCAGGGAAGGGCAGAGAACTAATTCAGGCATTACAGTTTGGTGTCCTCCAACTGCAATCAGAGTGGACTTGTGCGATTTCAGGAGCAAGAGGAAATTATTCCCATGACTCTGATGAAAAAAGCCCCAAACTGTACAGAAATGCTTAAGGGTTACGCAGGGCTCTTTTTGTAGAAAAAGCCCAGCAGGAACTCATTCGCATAATAGGCCACACCCAACAGCAGAACCCCATTAGCATATTAGGCCACACCCCTGACAGCACAGCTCATTAGCACATTAGGCTGCCCCCCCATGTTGCCAGAAGTGTGGTCATCCAGCCACACCCACCTTTTGCTTCTTATTCTGTTTACCTTGTTTGTTGTCAAACCCAGGGCCTTTTTTTGTAGCAGGAACTCCTTTGCATGTTAGGCCACACACCCCTAATGTAGCCAATCCGAATGGGTTTCTGCTGTTGGGTGTGGCCTGTTATGCTAATGAGTTCCTGCTGGGCGTGGCCAACTCGGGAGCCAGCCGGAACTCTGTTCCTGTGCGTTCCTGCCCAAAAATAGCCCTGGGGTTACGTATTGCCACGTCGAGTCAAGAGAACGTGTGATGCAGAGGGATGTGCACTAATGTTTTATTCCCCCCCCCTTCAAAAAAAATATTATCAGCTTACTGTTTTTAGGAGAGGTTTTAAAAGGACAAGAATGCTATTCTTACCTATGCCTTTTCTTCTGTATTTGGAATCCACGGCTAACATGGCTATATAACCTCTGCGAAACATCTTTTTGTGCATATCCAACTTGCACACGATGGCACCTACGCACTCATCTCCTACCATTGCCTTTAAAAAAAAAAACACCAAAAAATTATTGTTTTGTAGATTGTTGGGAAGACACAGTGCCACAAAAAACCCACCATCTTACATGGACATTTATAGATACATATGTATATATATAAAAAAAGAGACTGCATTCTGGAAATTTGTTCTGCTACACAAAGGACTTTTTTTGCATGAGGACAGATGCAACCTAAGCGAAAAAATGAAACTCTCGGTAACAAAAGTGCCAGTTACACGTTTTGTATTGTAAGCTTAAAATATCACTCCTAAAAAAAATAATCACACTCATGGTCTTCAACCTTATTTGGCCCAGATCCTATAAGTATTCTAAACAGAGATCCTAAAAATTATCAAAAGGACAGCTTTATATTATGCAGACAGAGCATTCTTAATTCACACACTATCTTTTCCCTGTGCACTGGAATGGTTATGAAACAAAGCATGGTACCAGACAATGTTCCCTCTAAGCTATGGAGTCCTGTGAGCAAAAATTCTACTTGGTGAGTGACTGGCGTTAACGTTTTGAGCAAGCGGTTTGGCTGCTGCATAAATCAGTTTGCTCCGGAGCCCTCCTTCCTGAGCTGAGACAGAAATGTGTGAGCCGGAGGCTAAGAAACTGTGAGCTAGCTCACACTAACTCAGCTTAGAGGGAACACTGGTACCAGAGCAGTCGTAGGCTTAATACGCTACCTGTTTGATTCATGAGCTGCCTTAAAGAAAGCGTGTCTCCAGTTCTCTAACCGTGTAGTCAGCAGAGTCAAAAAGGCTGACTCTGGAGGCCATTCTGGAATAACTGGTTTGAGAATTTCGACAAAACCCTCTACACAGATAAATTCAGATTCTGAAATGTAGTTTGGCAAACTTCAAGTCCATCACTCTTAGCATAAGAACCTAGTTAGGTTTCCTTTAGGCAGCTCAGAAAATAACTCCCCCCCCAATCTCCTTCACACCTGCACAGATACCTATGGACTACCCATTACAACTGAATTGATCCAGTTGGATCAAGGTAGTTCACTATCATATTTATAGAATTGGCTTCTCACCTCAGCTACTCTTATGCTATGGGTTTGAACAAGCCAAAGGGCTAATTAAACAAAGAGTTGAGAATATTGACCGACAATCTGACATCTCTAAGGCTTCCAAACTCGGGGTGTTGTTGAATATCAAAAGCACCATTGAGCCGGCAATATATTAGACTTCAGTGGAGGGAAAGAATTCTAGAAGGGCATTTGCCCTAGCTAGATGTTCTGCCCTTCCATCTGCAGTTATTCAAGGCAGGTACAACAAAAAACCCTACTCTGAAAGGTTATGCCCATGCCTTTTAAGCGAGGTGGAATCGGTAGAGCACGTGTTCTTCAGCTTTCCATTTTACAGGAAGGCTCGTCTTAAAATTATTACCCCATTAGTCGATAGGACACCTGGGCACATTAACACAAACCAAGCAAGGCTTCACTGGCTCCTATCAGATCAGACCGCAGAGATTACACCTTTAGTTGCTGAGTTTGGTGCATTAATTCTTAGATTGCGGGAATCGCATTTTAAAAGTTCTTAAATGCAGATTTCTATTTTTGTATATTATGACTGTTTTTCCCCTCTCCCTCACATATTATGCTTACTCTGTATGTTGGTCTTAAGACCGTAATAATAATAAACTAAACTAACTGAATCGGCTTCGATGCACTTATGGTTTCAAAATGTCCTTCGCTGGCCACCAGACCCAATATTATTTAAGCAGTGGCGTCAGGTGTTAACTGTACACTTCCCGGTGCAATACTCCCATGTGACATGTCTGTAGCTTAACCACAACATGTGACAGGAAAGGAAAGGAAGAAATCATTCCAAGAAAAGAACAGGTAGGTATATAAATTTGCCGGTGCTAAAATGCTGCCTTAAGAAAAATATCTCAATAGCTATCATTGGTGTACCAACCTTTACCAACCTCTCACATGGGAGAGCCAGTTTGGTGTAGTGGTTAAGTGTGCGGACTCTAATCTGGGAGAACCGGGTTTGATTCCTCACTCCTCCACTTGCGCCTGCTGATGTGACCTTGGGTCAGTCACAAGCTCTGGCACAGCTGTCCTTGAAAAAGAGCAGTTTGTGTCAGAGTTCTCTCAGCCCCACCCACCTCACAGGGTGTCTGTTGTGGGGAGGGGAAGGGAAAGGAGTTTGTAAGCCGCTCTGAGACACCTTTGGGTAGTGAGGGGCGGGGTATAAACCCAATTTCTTCTTCTTCTTCTATTTGGTACAGAAGCATACCAAGTTTAACATGCAATTAGTCCCGTGAAAACGTGTTTTGGATCTGAATTTAAATAATACAGGAGAACCCCAGTTGGCTGAAAGGTGTACTGAACATTTTAAATCGACAAAAAGTGTCCGCAAGAACACCCAAAGCTATAGTGGGGCTCTCCGGATCGTTTGGGTTTGCAGTTACTAGGCAAATCAGGGTGACCCGTTTCAAGCTCTAAAAAAATTCCTCACCTACACTAAAAGCTTGCCTCAGGCTGAAACTGTACATGTATTTTAGATGCACCAAGTCAGACGCTAAGGCCAGTTTGGCTGGGGGTTCGACTAGATGACCCCGGAAGTCCCTTCCAACTCTTTGATTCTATGATTCTACTTCTAATGTGACTAACTGGGCAGAGGCAATCATGATGTCAGAAAACAACACATACGGGACAACCACTTGTGAAGCAGAATAAGAACGTTAGCACCCTTTTAGCTAACTGAGTTAGGGTGGCCAACCTCTAGATCAGGGATGGCCAAACTGCGGCTCGGGAGCCGCATGCAGCTCTTTCGCACATATTGTGCAGCTCCCGTCAGGCTCCCCATCTATTTGCTTTCTTTGTTTCTCTCTCCCCCTCTCCTTCCTCCCCCTCTATTTGCTTTCTTTCCACTTTTTTTTCTTTTTCTTCTTTCCTTCCCCATCTATTTGCTTTCTTTCCGCCTTTTTTTTCTCTCTCTTCCTTCCTCCCCCTCTATTTGCTTTCTTTCCGCCTTTTTTTTCTCTCTCTTCCTTCCTCCCCCTCTATTTGCTTTCTTTCCGCCTTTTTTTTCTCTCTCTTCCTTCCTCCCCCTCTATTTGCTTTCTTTCCGCCTTTTTTTTCTCTCTCTTCCTTCCTCCCCCTCTATTTGCTTTCTTTCCGCCTTTTTTTTCTCTCTCTTCCTTCCTCCCCCTCTATTTGCTTTCTTTCCGCCTTTTTTTTCTCTCTCTTCCTTCCTCCCCCTCTATTTGCTTTCTTTCCGCCTTTTTTTTCTCTCTCTTCCTTCCTCCCCCTCTATTTGCTTTCTTTCCGCCTTTTTTTTCTCTCTCTTCCTTCCTCCCCCTCTATTTGCTTTCTTTCCGCCTTTTTTTTCTCTCTCTTCCTTCCTCCCCCTCTATTTGCTTTCTTTCCGCCTTTTTTTTCTCTCTCTTCCTTCCTCCCCCTCTATTTGCTTTCTTTGTTTCTCTCTTTCCACCTCTCTCTTAGACAAATAAATATTAACACGCAAATAAATATCATTGGACAAATAAATATCAGTATCGATATCTGATTTTACCCCTTTTGTTTTTGGCAGTCATTTAATGTTAATAAAAAGCAAACTCGCATATTTTTCAATAAAAACGTGTGTGTGCTATTTGTTCATGCCTTGCAGCTCCCAAACATCTGGCGTTTATTCTGTGCGGCTCTTAGTTAAGCTTGGCTGTCCCTGCTCGAGACAGTGGCTGGAGATCCCCTGGTATTCCAATTGATCTCCAGCCTACAGAGATCACCTCCCCTAGGGAAAATGGCTGATTTGGGGAAACTGGTCTCTATGGCGTTATACCCTGAAGTCCCTCCCCTCCCAAGCCCCACCCTTCTTAGGCCACCCCCCAAAAAAAAAAAACCCCTCCAGGTCATTCCCAACTCAGAGCTGGCAACCCTGAAACCGAGGGTGTTTGGTCTTAAAGGTGCCACTGGACTTCTCTTTTACTCTTCTGCAACAGACCAACACACCCGCCCTTTTGATATTATAAACCCCGACAACCGGGCAACTTTATAGTCCGGGAAACAGTCCAGCCGAAGCTGAGCACTTTTAAAGTCACACCGATGGGAGCGTCACAAGTTCTCAGGAAAACTACTTGCAACGAGGGTATTCGCGTAGTGAGATCGAGGACACAGATACACGTACTGCACGACAGGTCGCCCATGATTAGTTCTTACACAGCAGAATGAAGGTGGCCAACATCTTAAAACTGCTTATTATTGCACAGGGTGATATTTCGTGCCCTCCCCTCTGACGTAGCCATTTTCTTACACTCCCTTCCTTAAGGCTTACATGGAGTAGGGTTAGTCTGAGGACGGATGGACGGGCAGAGCACAGGACTCGATCCCTCCAGTTTGGTCCCCTCCGTGCTGGCATACTGTGCTTGGATGCAAAGAGCCTTCCTACCGATCTGCCGACTGGTTGTGCTGGCAGACGTCTGCTTGTGTTGGGAGGAGACGGCCAGGAACCCACCCAGAGACTGAGGTGCAGCACTGCCTTAGGTGCAGGGGTCATTTCATAGAAAAAGAGGTGCAGGAGCTCATTAGCATAACTCATTAGCATATGCCACACACCCTGACATCACCGGAAGTGTGTCAGAAGGCAACACCCACCACTCAGGCTCCACTGGACTGTTTTGGATTGCTAGCTATTGGGGGGGGGGACGTGCAGATCTGTCCTCACAGAGGAGGGAGAGCTTGTACCTGAATAAAACCTGGTCTTAAAGGTGCCACTGGACTGTTTTGGACTGTGGGGCCGGGGGGAGCTCTGCAGCTTACCTGGCTGCTTCTTGCTCTGACTGAGGGCTGCTGGGAGCAGGGGGTGGGGCTTGTTGCATGTGCCCACCCCCTGGGCTCTTTACTGCCGGAGCTCCACTCCTGTGCGCTCCTGCAGGAAATGACCCCCACTTAGGTGACATTTTAAGCCATTGAAAGCTTCGTGCTGTTAACAACCAGGCACCGCTAACACTGTCCGGGCCAGGGGATCCCCAACCTTTTTGA